GAGAGCGCTGAACTGCAATTTAATATCAGTCTTCTTAAATGGCAGTGAAATTTGGACAATTTCTTCATAGATGAAGAGGAGATTTGAAACAAAAGAGATGTGGGTTCTACAGGAAGATGCTGAGAATACCATAGATAGAGCAAGTAAGCAATGAGGAAATTTTAAGAAAAATAGAAGCAAAAGGATATTGGTAATCAGAAGGAGAATTGGAATTTTGAGAACAGAAAATGAGGAAAGAAGACTTGGAAAATTTGATATTCACAAGTCAAAATGAAGGCAGATAGAGAATGAAACAAAGTAACCTACCTAATAAGCTTGTGTAAATGAATGACAGAACACGGAGTGGGATGAATACTAAAAAGACAAACATTGTAAAGAGTTAGAAAGAATAGGAAATTGTGGAGAGTAATGATTACCCATATCTTGAGTACTGGATTGAAGAAATAAATCCAAAGGATGTAGAAATGGTTATCTGCATGATGAAACATTACTTACTACTTTTATATGTCATGTTCTTTCAGGATGTGGGAAGTCATGGTTCTCCACAACTTCCTATTCTTTGTAGCTCTAAATAATGTTAATCTCCTTACTATCCCTCCCAGTCCCTGTTCTGATATCCATTTACACAGGTTCATTAGGTAGCTCTGATATCCATTTACACAAGTTCATTAGGTAGCTCTGATATCCATTTACACAAGCTCTCCCCTTGCTCCTTTCACTGTGACTTGTGAAGGTCAAATTTTCCTAGCCTTCTTTCTTCATTGTGTTCTCAAAATTTCAGCTGATATCCATTTACACAAGCTTCTTAGATTACAGTTTTCTCTTTCTGCCAATATGTCCTGTGAGTAGCAAATTCTCAAAGCCCTCTTTCCTCATCATGCAACCCAGAAATTTCAACCCTCACTTCCTAATACTAAGTAACCTTTTTGTTACCATTTTCTTTAAAACTTTTTGTTGCTCTCACATGAACAGTCCATGGTATTTTCAGCAGACTTCCGTAGAACCACATTTCTGCTGCCTCAACATTACCACCATGCTCTCTGAATATATTGCAAGTTGAGGTATAAACCAAAAACGCAAACTCAATAGTCAAGGTTTTCTTTTTACCCCTAAATTTCAAATTGGCCGAAAATGTAAATACTAGTTACAGAATATAAAACTAAAAGAAAAGATTTACCAGAAGGTTCTTAACCCTGCATTAGTCACATGGGATGTTTTGTTACCCCTAAATTTATAAAGTACCTGTAATTCCTACTTGGCCACTTTTCTTTTGTTCTCTTCTACCATTCTACTAACTCAATGAAAGCGTGTAGCACACAAGGCAGCTCAGTTGTTGTGGGAGGCAGAAGCCAGGGGACTATACATTTTCGAAAATCCAAAGTGACTAACATAGGGTTAATGTACAGTATTTACATTAGTCGGACTATTGTCCTCATCTTTGTCGCCATATTTGTCACGTTTCGGCCGTTGTACGCTCTGGCCTTCTTCAGGTGGTTGGACAATGAAGATGAGGACAATAGTCCGACTAATGTAAATACTGTACATAATACCTCATCTCAGAAATATAGACAGACTCTGAAAAAATTGCCAAGTGCCTAACCCAAGATGCATTACAGATGGGAGATGACAGAATGCTTTATGAGCCTTAGGTCACCAAGCATAAAAATTGTTACTAATAAAATATTAAAAACAAGGCAAATTATGACAATGAATTGTGTAGTTTGTACTGTTTGCTGAAATACCAGTTTCTGTCAGGATACATTGTTCTCCCACCCCTGTTGATTGTTGTACACTACTGGTAATATTCAGTGAAATATTTTGCTTTGTATGAATGTATGATAAACTACATCTGGCAACAAGGCTTCTGATCGGGAGTTTGGAGGTTTTGAGGAGTATGGAACCACTTCTTAATTACTGTTGTTCCCAGGTCTACTCTGACCCAGGGTGGTAGCATCTGTTAGGGTTCCAGCTATGGGCAAATAGTGAACTCCCAAACAAAACACTATGAAAGTAGAAGAAATATACATTTTTACAGTAAAATATCAGTAATACACGTTTATATAAAAAAATGACCAACAATAGATTTTATCTGTAGTTGAAAATTAAAAACAAGTAATGTAATAGAAACTAAAAAATCGTTTTCATTTACTTATCTCTTTTTAAAGCATGTTCACGAAAGCACTAAAAAAAGAGCATAGCATAAAAACGGCCTTAAACTTGAAAACAAAATTTTTATCATCAAAATATTGCGTTCAAAATATTTAGATTTCGGCAGGGCTATGTTTACTGGAAAAATATTAAAAAAAAAAAAAACACTCGTAGAGGTTGATACAACTAAACAAATCAACCAAACTACTACTAACACTAACATGAAAGAACTCTTTAGTTTTTAATGACATTTTAATTCCTAAAATCAAACTAACACACATATCACCACTTCTAGTAATTTATATCCGCACAAACGTATATGCACAAGAGCTGAGTATCATCTACCATGGATTCAATTAGAAAGCAGAATAAAATTTTTATACCCCCCTCCAATTAAAGTTCGGCATTAAATGACCCATAAGGAATTGATATGCCATGTAATTATTAAATAATTCACATTGTATTTTTTTTTTTTACAGATTGCTTTCAGTCTACTGTTGCAATATTGTATTTGCATAAACAAATTTTCCCCTACAAATCCACTTTAAAATATATTTTTTTCAATATGAAACATACTAAATTTTTATCCACAAATTATCCTTGTAAATTGTAAGTGGGGTGCGTATTATGCGAAAGCAAATACGGTACTTAAAAAATAAAAATTATGCTGATCAAATACATGGTGATCTTCTAAGTATAGCTTAGATGTGGCACAAGGCCGAAAGTATGGAGTGAGAATCGAACTCACTATTCAGTCGTAATTGATCTGGCGAAACAAGCTTGCTAAAAATACCACATCGAAGTGCCCGCTGATCAAATACGACATGAGGCTGAAACGAAATTTAATACGACTAATAATTTGATTTATTGAGGATTAATCCAAGGAATTATTATAAATTATTACTGAAACAGTACACTTTTATAATTCAATAAATCAACAGCGAATGTAACGAATTTAAAAAAAAATTAAAAACAAGTCATAGAAACTAAAAAATCGTTTCCATTTATTTACTATTCATAGGCATGCTCACGAAAGCGCTAAAAAAGAGCATAACATAAAAAAGGTCTTAAACTTGATGAAAACAAAATTTTATCATCAAAAAAAGGAAAGACCAGAGTATTTTAAAATGATTTAATTAAATTTTTTCCATTTTTTTTTTTTTTTTTTTAGAATATTCTAAGTTTTGTTTGATTAAAAAAAAAAATCTTAACATTTAAGTGACAGATTTGTTTTACGGCTTATCAACCTTTGATAACAAAAAAAATCGTGTAAGTAAAAAACAAAATTCTAAAAATCTAAAATAAAAAAAATAATCGCAAAGGAACTAATAAATAAATTAAATAAAAATATATCAACAAATAGAAATCGACCCGAAATTGAAATTTTTACATCGCCATAAGTGGAAAAAAAAAAAAAAAAATTTTTTTTTTTTTTTTGCTCATTATAACTTGTATAAAATACCTTGTCAAGGAGCAATAGTCAAATTCTTCTGGCAATTAAGTGGAGTATAAATTTGTGTGTGTTACGCACTTGCTTTTCAGAGATCGATGTTATTTTTTTATTGAAATATAAAAAATAAAATAAGTTAAATTAAATTTTAGTAATTTCAGAAAATTAAAAGAAGTAAAAAGAAAAAGTCATTTATTAAAAATGACATAGTACCCAATCTGACAAAAAAACATGTGATTTATTTTTAGGGTGCGCCAATTTCTCATTCTTCACACACAAAGAGGGGGGAGGGGAATATTTAAAAAACTTAAAATTTATTAGCATTTTTATAATTAACGAAGAAAAACAAGTTACTCTTTTTTTGTTTAAAATTTTTTTAACAAACCACATTAACAGGGCTATTTGTTGTTATTGGACACTTCATAGATACATTCAATTTTTTAGTGTAACTTTTAAGTTTTTACAGATAAGCTTAAAGCCCAAAAAAAAAAAAAAAAGAAGAAAAAAAAAAACTTCAAAATCGAAGCTCTTGACTCTGAAACCGGGCCACTAGATAAGTAACAGCCTTACACCACAATATAAATAAAAATTATTTGTTTATAAATGAAAATTAGAAAATTTTGTAAGTCTAAAAAAAAATAAAAAAAAAATACCAGAGGTTATAAAATAAAGAATATACGAGTGTTTTTTTTTAATATTTTTCCAGTAAACATAGCCCTGCCCAGAATTTACTTCTGACTGACAAACTGAATGAATGCCAACATTTTTTTGTAGTAGTATAAAAAAAAAAAAAAAATGAAACAAAGGTAATATAAATAATTTATGTTTATTCCGCGGAATAAAAAGCATTTTTATTTTTAAAACAATTTCAGTATATTTATGAAGTCATTTTATACTTATTTTTTAAAAGGAAGTCAATATGATAAAAAAAATTGTTTTTATTTTATTTTAAGAAATCTCTGAAAAAAAATGTAAAAAAATAAATAAAAACAGCTTGATTTTTTTTTCTGTAGAAAAAAAAAATGTTTCTCACCGACCACGATAACAATATGCATAAAATATATAAGCCTATATAAATTAATTATGTGTATGCAATTAAAATAAAGAAATCAAATGTTTTGTTTTGGTACAATTACTAAACAAAACAAAAAAGATTACTCATCAGTTACTAAATGTCATTGTATTTTTATTATTAACCTGTCAAAAAGAAATGTGCGTAAATTTGTAAAACATGGTTAGTAAAAATATTTGTATTTGTCGTGGATTTTTAAAAAGAGTGACTACATACAATTACAAGATTTCTGGTTTATACAGAAAAATTACTAATAAAAATAAATAACCAATTTTAAAAATGAGCCATAACCCCTTCCCTAAGAAGAACAACATTTAACAAAATACTTACCCATTTTGTGTTGTAAGAAGAGCAGAAGCCGCCATAATATACAAAACAAAAAGTAAGGGTTATTTATTTATTTCCACGGCTGTTTGAGTTGAAAATTACTATAATGGTAGTGATAATAATAATCTTAAGTCGAGTAAGCAGTACTAGCGCTACTAAAAAGTAAAACTAAATAGAATAATAATAATAATAATAATAATAATAGGCAGGCATTGGGACTGTTCACCTGTTCCCTTTAGTAACAATCTTTCTTTACAGTATACAGTACTAGCTTTACAACTAGTAATTACACCTGAACAAATACGGAGTTAAATAAATATGTTTGAAATTTATACAACGTAAGCCTTTTTTTTCATTATCAGGTTTACATCGAATTGTTGTCTAAGGCAGCCATAATTGCTGCTATCTTCCGTGAATGCGATCACTGCGCATGACAAAATATCCTACTTCCGGAAAAATAAAAGTTTGCACATGACCTTGTTTTTGTTGCTGATTTTTTTTTCTTTTTAAATTTCATTCATATTTTTTACTATTTAATTTCATTCACTGTTTTTAAAAAATAGTTTTATGAAATAATTGTCAGTTGCCAAGTAAAAAAAAAAAAAAATACTGTAACTAAATATAACTCTTTCTTACGCGAACTCTTCTTTATAAGCAGACAACTGTTTCTTTCTTTCCTTCTTTTTCATCCGCATCTGTGAGAGTTCTTTTCAATCTACCAAAGCCTATTAGTGACATAATTTTATTTTATTTTTTAAATATTTGTGAAATACATCAGAGTTAAAGGAAACTATTTTGGTTATTCTTATTAATACAGTGGGAATTCGACTATTTGGATAATTGTTGTTTGATTCTAAAAAAGAAACCATTTTAAAACCAGGTTATCTATCAGAAATATGGAGCTGAAAATTCAATGGACCATGAAATATAAAAAATACATTTCCGTACGTCCACAGGAAGTGCGCTGAGTTTGCCGAATACTCGAAGTTCATGCAAATGAAATTTATACAAATATCCAATTGCTGCCGCGTGAGGTTACTTTGGTTTTGCCATCGCTAGCATCGCTAGCCGATATGCACAACTTTGCCAACTTTGTCTTGTGTTTCATACAACTCAAAAATTGCAAACCCTTGATAGCTTCGTTAGTGAAAGCAAAGGCAAGTGTTGGTGTAATTAAATGTATTTTAACACTGTTGAATCGGAATAGATAGGCTCGTCTATGGTCCGGTTCACACTCCTCCTTGGTCTTATGAACAGGAGTAGAGGTTTATCCCTTGTTTCTAAAGTCCTCTCATTCTCTTTCGCTCCCAGTAGCCCCTTGCGTCTTAGTTGCATTATCGCCTTGCTTGGGGGGAATTGATTAAAAAAAAACAGTATGACAGTACAATCAAGCTGATCGACAGCTTTAGCTTCATTGTCATAAGTACACCAATAAACTAATGAACACTTATTACTAGCAAAAATTTGTACTCGAGTCAAAGGCGTAAAATTAAATATTCATGGAATTTTTTTCGAATAAGCGATGTACAACAATAACACTTAAAATAGTTATTATAACTTTAACTATTTCTTCAAATCGGAATCACCTACCAAGCATAGCAGTAATGCCACTAAAACACAAGGGGTTACAGGGTGTGGAAGAATTAGGAACAGAAATATTAATGATGAGCAGAAAAAGAGAGTAACCAGATCGACAGTAGATAGCGATTGATGTCGCATTTAAATTTTTGCAGATTAAAGTTGGTTGGAAAGCATGGAGCCGGAAGGGAGTTCCACAAGCGAGAAGTGCGGATGAAGAAACTGTTAGCATAGAATTTACGGCTACATACAGCGAGCTCAATTGTAAAGTGATGAGATCTCTACGCCAATCGAGTGTTACGCTATGCGGGTTTATATACCCTTTGAATTTATGTGACCAATAATTTGTCCTCTGTAGAAAATAAGGGTAAAAAAAGCATTGACGCGACACGGCGAGAGAAAACAGGACGACATCAAACTTGAGTGGAATAAATAAAAGCTTTATATCAGAAAGAGGAATAAAGAAAAGGGAAGATAGAAAAATTGGGTTTAAAAATCGTTGTAAAAAAAAAACAGTGTTTTTTGCGAGGAATTAACTGGTGGCAATAAAGTTCGTTCGGTTAACAGTTCTTCTCATTTTTGTTGTAACGTCGGAATATATATTTCTTCAGGTTGAAGAGGGATTCAGTTTTCAGATGCTTTGCTGCAACTGTTGGGACATCCTCGTTCCTATGTTGTATTCTTGGCCGCTCCATTTTCGGACACCATGTAGCTGCTGGTTGAGTTTTACGGAACTAAATTAATCCGTGTTGACTCGTCGGTGGCAGAGGAAAAAAAAGAGGCCGTGATAGGCTGCTTTCAACCCAACCCAGGGCCTGGTGTTAACGACCCCTACAAAGGGAGGCAATTCATTTTTCTATATAATATTTTCAATAGCGCTTAAATTCAAAAAGTCTAGGTACCATAGCAAAGATTCGAACAATTCCCATGAAAGTATTTATAGAAAAGACACCGAGAGGCAACCTTACGGCTGTTGGAAAGCGACTGAAGCTGAGCCGCCAAATCAGGATCAATAATATTACAGATTCTTCTTTGGATTTTATCAAGGAGTTCAAGGTAAATAGCATGGTCATCGGGCCATATGTGACAGCAATATTCTAAGCATGAGTGAATAGATGGACTTATAGATATGTAAGATAGATTCTGGAGAGAAAAATTGTCTCGGCCGACATAGTGAACTGACTTTCTTAGCAGCTGACCTAGCATTGGATTCAATATAGTCTTTCCACTTCATATCAGCAGAGAACGTGAGCCCGAGGAGGCGTTACGTGTCACTTTCCTGGGGAATAGCATCAGTCATACTGATGGAAGGCAACAAGGGGTCTATGTAATGATTAATGGAGAGACGCTTTGTTTGTTTTTTTTAAATTAACAAGCCATCTTTTGCCCCAGTTAACGTGAAGTTGTTTTTTTTTCAATAATTTTTTCCAGAATATTCGATTTTTATTACTCCGAGACAGGCACGGCGTCACCATAAACAGGCTCAAAATCAAGGTTTATCACGAAAATTCTGTTCGAACAATTTATTGGTTAATAAAGTCTTCTCTCTTACGTATTGGCAAGAGCATAATGCTGAATGTTTTCCAGGTCATTTTTTTATAATAAGTTGTTTCCCAAGTTAAAAATGCAATAGTGGTTCGATTCCTGTCAAGAAACACATATTCTTTCATGTTTGTCGATTTGACTGCATTAAAAAAGTAGGGATATCTACTCAAATATGTGTGCCCACTAAATATAACATTTATAGTAATTATATATATATATATATATATATATATATATATATATATATGTATTGAGGAGGCGCGGTGGAGTAATGGATGGCGACTTGGATTGAGGAATCGGGTAAATACCAGGACAGACCAGGTTCTGTAGCCTTAGATGGCAATTGGTCTACAGAAAAGACATGGCAATGTACTGCGAGGAAAAAAATCTACCTCGGCAGTCATGTATCGTTTATGACGCATGGAACATAACTAACTGATCTGGGGCCTCGCCCGGTCAGGGGGTTCGGGAGTAGTAAGCACCAAATCTGGTCAGAACCCTTGTATGCACCACGAACTCACTGACGCTTGTGTGGTCAATACCGGACAATTGTTGGAGACGTAATCATATCAGCATTCAATTGTTTTTCAGCGATCTTCTAGCTGTAGAGTGTCAACACATCCACTTCAAGAAACAGTAGAATGAAACCCGCCACATCGATGATTTTTCAACAGGGTGATATTTTATATTTTTGTTTTTATAAAAAACTGAGTAAAAAGAGAGAAAATACACAGTATGCATGCAAAAGAAAGAAGAGATTAAAAGTTATGAATTGTGTCGAGGATACATGCGTGTGTGAAATTTCAGTCACCAAGGGGAAATATACTTACATAGCCGGAACAAGATCCCGGTGGAGAAGACAGGAAGTGACCCATTTTTAGGTGTTTTGTGATATCAACGAACTCTCGTTGCAATTTTTGTAATTCTCGTTGTAGAAGAGACTTTGTAATCGCAGATACAACTATAGTAACGCCGTTGAACAATACTGGTGTCAGACGCCTTTGAATAACACTCACAATAATAATACTTGCTCGATAACATTCGCCCGAACAGTAATCCGTATAGTGATCCGAATAGAGAAATATTATAGTGAATAGTATAGAGAATAGCGATCTGTATAGTAATAGAGGATAGAGTAGAAAGAGTGATCAATCCACACTAAATCTCGTATATATATTTCAATTAACCATCACGTGTTCCTGTTCTAATCTCGTGACATTTCAAAACATTAGCCAATAGGTGTTTTGTTATGTCAACGAACACTCATGGCCACTTTTGTGATGTCAACGAATACTCGTTTTCACTTTCGTAAATGCTTGTTGTAGTAGAAACTTTGTAATCGTAGATACAACTATAGTAACGCCGTTGAACAATACTGGTGTCAAACGCCTTCGAATAACATTCGCACTAATAGAACTTGTTCGATAGAACTCGCTCGAAAAGTAACCGCCGAATAGTAATCCGTATAGTGATCAGTATAGAGAAATAGTATAGTGAATAGTATGGACAATAGTATAGTGAATAATATAGAGAATAGCGATCCGTGTAGTAATAGAGGATAGTGTAGAAATTGTGATCAGTATAGAGAAATAGTATAGTGAACAGTATAGGAAAATAGCATAGTGAATAGTATAGAGAATAGCGATCCGTATAGTAATAGAGGATAGTGTAGAAATTGTGATCAGTATAGAGAAATAGTATAGTGAACAGTATAGGAAAATAGCATAGTGAATAGTATAGAGAATAGCGATCCGTATAGTAATAGAGGATAGTGTAGAAATAGTGATAGTATTAGACGCCACGCTGATTCCCGTATATACATTTCCTTCAGTATAGTGAACGGTAGGAAAATAGCATAGTGAATAATATAGATCACGTGATCCGTATACTTATTCAAAATGGAATGAACGGTATA